ATGGTCAGCCCGCTGCCAGCAGCCAGGCTGGGGTTGCCATAGGTCCAGGCAAAGAGGGGCGGTGGGGCAGCAGCGGCGGTGCAGCACAGCTCCAGGCGGGAGCCCAGCTGCAGGCGCAGGGGGCCCGGCGGGGTGACGGTGATGCTGTCGGGGCCATCTACAGGCAGAGGGGCAAGGGGTCATGGGGACGGTGGCAGGGGACATGGGGGACATGGGGACAGGGACAGCATGCGGCCAGACAGGGATGGCGTGGGACACACAGGGATGGGGACGGACACGGGGGGCGGTGATGGCGCAGGGACACGGGGACGGGGGCAGAGGGGACATGGGGACAGGGTGGCGTGGGGATGGACACGGGACAGGGACGTTGTGGGGACAGGGCGGTGCGGGGGACGTGGGGATGGGGACAGGGGTGCATGGGGGACACAGGAGAGCGATGGCGTGGGGGCACGGGGACAGGGACAGAGGGGACATGGGGTCAGTGCTGGTGTGGAGGCGTGGGGATGGGGACGGACACGGGGACGGCACAGGGGATGCAGGGACAGGGACGGTGTGGCGCGCACGGGGACAGGGATGCAGGGGGAACTCACAAAGGATGGCGATGTTGACGTCCTCGCTGCGGTTGGTGCTGACGGCATTGCTGACCTGGCACACGTAGGCACCAGCGTCACCCCGCTGCGCCGGCCACACCGTCAGCGTGCGGTTGTCTGGGGACAGGGACAGGCGGCCATCGGCCGACACCGTCACCCCATCGTGCAGCCAGGCCACCATCTGGGTGCCGGGGGGGCTGCGGCAGGTCAGGGTGATGGTGTCGTTCTCCACCACCGTCACGTTGTCTGGCGTCACCGCTGGCTGCGCCAGCAGCTCTGCAAGCAGATGGGCACAGCAGGTCAGGGCTCATGCGGCGCCCTCGCACTCGCTCCCCCATGGCTCCCCCTCGCTGCGCAGCGCGGTGGCAGGGATGGTGGCAGTGGCATCGGCGGGGATGGCGTCCCTGGCTACTCACCCCAGACCCGCAGCTC